TGTGTGTGTGTGTGTGTGTGTGTGTGTGTGTGTGTGTGTGTGTGTGTGTAGGCGTGGATGGCTCAACAGTTAAAGATGCTGAGCTTATCTGCTGGAAAGCTAACAGCCCAGGTTCGAGACCCAAGCACTGCGCGACAGGGTGAGTTCCCGTTCCTTGCTCCAGCTCCACCTAACAGTTTCGAAAGCATGAAAATGCGAGTAGATTAATAGATACCATTTTGGTGGGACGGTAACAGTGTTTGTCGCGCCTTGGCATATCTATTGGAAATCTAGATCAATGACTAGTTTACAAGCCCTACATTCAGTGAAAAGGTCCCGACTCACAAATACTGCATTTCTTGACCTTTTTATAGTAATTGCAAGGATATCATTATAACATTTACATGCAGAAGATCCCTATCTCATTCCCCAATATTCCATCCAGATGTGATGGGGAATTATTGCTTTCTTCCCAATAATTAAATAGCAGAGAGAAAGAGAAAGAGATAACTGGACTGAATGGAGAAAGACTAACACTGTAATGGCATATGGGAATGACCTTGGAAGACAGGAGGAAAGCTGCATCTAGGGCAATGGTGGATAAAAGGCAGATGAGTCTGCAGAGGCAATGGGGACATGGAAACATATCAGAAGAACCCCCCCCCCCCTAGTTTCTTGGGCTGTACAGATGGGTGGAAGGAGAAGAAGCACTTATAGAGTTGCAAAATTCTGTTAATGCAACCTTGCAATATAGTAGAGCTAATATTTTGGGATAAGCTTCTGGTGCGGACCACATCACAAAGCTGACCCACCTACAAAGTGGTTTAATATGCTAAGAGTGTGCTCTCCTACACATTTAACCTAGTTACTTAATTAACTACTTTTCTAAGTGTTCTAAATACATTTAAACTGCCAACTGCCCAGTCAAACTCTTGTATGCCACAGAAAAATTAACAGGCTAAAAATAAATAAACTTTGGTGGAGTCCTTGGTGTTCTCTGAGCTTGATTGTTTTGTAGCAGACATTTTATTATCCAACTAGGTAACATCGTCAGGGCTAGAAGGGAGTGTGGTTTGCTTGCTGCTTATATATAAGTGGTTTGTCATTGTTGGTGCGAGTGTTCCTAATAGTTCCCTGATTAGACTGACAGGGCAAGTCACTTGGACATAAACCAAGAGCAAACCCCACTCCCTTCTAGCACTGATGATGTTGCCTAGTTGGGTAATAAAACGTTTGCAGGAAAACCACCTAGCTCAGAGAGCATCAAGGACCCCAGAGTTCAACCCCAAACTGCAAATATTCCCTTCTGCTGGTATTAAACTTAAGGCAGTGGCCACACAATTAACATCTAGTTAAGCATGTTGATATAACCACAGTGAAAACACAGAGGAAGGAAACAAAACTTACAGATTGTGGGTGGTGGTGGTGGGAATAAAAAGGAAATGTGCAGTGGAGTAGAAAAGCCATCAACTGAGAAAATATGAGAGACAATGAAGAGGATTGCAGGAAGCACAGTTGTCTAAGGCAGAGGTCTCCAAAGTTGGCAGCGTTAATACTTGCAGACCTCAACTTGCAGAATTCCTCATGCTGGCTGCGGAACTCTGAGAGCTGAAGTCCACAAGACTTACAATTGTCAAGTTTGGAGGACTCTGGTCTAGAGTGAAAGTAATTTGGTTGCTAATGGAGCACTAGCACTGGCATTTAGACTTATATACTGCTACACAGTGTTTTACAGCACTCTCTAAGCAGTTTACAGAGTCAGCAAATTGCTCCCAACAATTTGGGGTCCTCGTTTTGCCCACCTCGGAAGGATGGAAGGCTGAGTCAACCTTGAACCTGGTGAGATTTGAACTGCCAAATTTCAGGCGGCCGGCAGCCAGCAGAAGTAGCTTACAGTACTGCACTCTAACCACTGTGCCACAGTGGCTCATATCTGTGTTTACATCATGCCAAGCCAGGCTAATGGCAAAAATCAAGTATTCTTCTAATTTAGGAAAAACCAGTGACCAGAAATAGCTGTATAAATGCAAGATAATTCAAATATTTGCTGACCAACTGAATTTCACCGCAGTACTCACCTGCTGTCTTCTACAGTAGCTTGAAAATATCTTTTCTTAATTTGTGGGTCAGAGGAGGAGGTCAAAAAAGTCAAGAGGACTTCCACAATGGCGTGATGGAAGCTTCCATCTTGATTTTTTTTAACCATACCCTTCAGATACTTCTGTGGTGACAATGCCCAGCACAATTTGATATGCATGTAAAAGAATACACAATCCTTGGTTTGACGGCCTACACAAGGTAGTTTTTGCCATATTTTGTAGAGATTTGTCATTTAAGGAAACCTGTTTTGCACGCAATACAGAAAAGTTGAGTGAGTTTCATTCCAAAACAGACTGAGGAGAAAAACAACAACAACGAGAGCCACAACATGACACACAAACACCCATTCACATGCACTGCATACCTGGAGGCACCATAGGTTTGTGGTTGTGAGCTTTCAAGTATTTTCAAAAAAGGAGAGGAAAAAGGAGGAGGAGGGGAAAAAAAATAAAGAATATTTTGAAATTAAATAGGAGGGGTGGGTGAGAAACAGAACAAGGAAAATTAGCATAGAGCCCAAGTAGGTTCCATTGAGTAGGCAAACTCCATACATGAATCAGCCGGCGAGTATCAATGTGCCTTAGAGATTACAATTTATAAATATTTTAAGTAAATTTATCAGCCATGACAGGTGCAATTTGTTGCTTCAAAAACTGAACCACAAATGATTACTTCTTCAGAGTCATCATTAAAAACCCAACTCGAGAGTATTAAAATGTGTTACTGGATATAGTAGGGGTGACATGATAACAGTGTTCCAATATTTTAGGGGCTGCCACGAAGAAAAGGGAGTCAATCTATTCTCAAATGCACCTAAAGGCAGAAAAAGAAGTAATGGGTAGAAACTAATCAAGGAGAGAAGCAACCTAGAACTAAGGATAAATTTCCCGATATTGAAAGCAATTGATCTGTGGAACACTTTGCCACCAGAAGTTGTGGGTTCTCCAACAATGGAGGTTTTTAAGGAGGAATTGGACAGCTACTTGTCTGGTACAGGGTTTTCTGGAGGTTTTTAAGAAGGAATTGGACAGCTACTTGTCTGGTACAGGGTTTTCTGTTTGACCACAAGGTTGGACTAGAAGACCTCCAAGGTCCCTTCCCACTCTGTTCTATAGGTAGTCCTTGACTTGCCACCATGACTGGGACTAGAACTTCTGTCGCTAAGCAAAATGCTTGTTAAATGAGTCATGCCCAATTTTATGACTGTTTGCCATGGTTATTCAGTGAATCCGTGCAGTGAATCAAATGGTTGTGAAGTGAATCCATTGACTGCTAGTCAGAAGGCAGCTGGGAAGGCCACAAACGGCGATCACGTGAGACGTATCAGTTGCCAACCGCCTGAATTTTGATCATGTGATGCTGCGACGGTTTTAAGTGTGAGAACCAGTTGTAAATCACATTTTTTCAGTGCACTGTACCTTCTGTCAGCCTCCAAGAATCCTTCTTCTGCTTATCTTTCCGGCTGCCATAGAAAGAGGGGGGCAGAATAATTGGACTTCGTGGCGGGAAGAGTACTGGAGGTTTAAGTTGGTAAAATGTAAAAGTTGGGATGTTTTTTTGACTAAGCTTACTTGCTTACTGCGCAAATGTAGCCCCTTATCTGCCTAAGCCAAGGTAAAAAAAAATTATTAATTTTCTATTGTTTACATTTATTAGAGCTTAATAAACATCATGTTGTCTGGGTATTTAATCTGCTTAACGATACAGAATTACATTTTTAATCTCCACTCCCTTTTTTCCAATTACTGGTAAAATAAATTCCATGTTTGATAATATTCTGCATCTTCTTTCTGTTTAATTTTCAATGTAAGCCTATCCATTTCTGCACAATCTAGTATCTTCCTAATTGTCTCTTCATCTTGCGGTATTTCTTCATTTTTCCAACATTGTGCGAATATAATCCTTGCTGAAGGTTCAAGGATATTTAGCCAGGGCTAAACATAGCTAGTATCAGCTTTGGAAGCCATATTGAGACCAGACGCTTCCACGCTGCCACATTCTTGACCCTGGGAAAATGGGAAGGGGGAATTTCTTGGAGGGTATGTAGTTAGACATAATAGCATTCTTCTTCTAAGTCAAGGTCATGTTATTTCTGCACCTGGGTGAGGGGATGTCTCAAATTGGGATGGAAGGTGATTGGGGCATGTGATGCAATGAGGGGTGCAGGGGATGATGGATTTGTAGTTTTTTTACTTATTGCACGGAAGCCCGGAACTTTCAGATTCGGGATTCCCCAGATGTGCCAGTTTACTATCTAAATATAACAGAACTTTTGAGAAGATTGTCTGTCTCGGAGTTATTGTTTGGAGTGGAGGTTTTCTGGAACGCTGACAGCTAGTTATTTTATTCCAGGAATAAGCCATGTAACATAGATGAGGCATAGTTACTATATGAGAGGGTGTGCAGAATTTACACTCATTACTTCAAATCCACCACATCTTTTTCTCTCCCCGAGAAGACTCATTCCACCCACAATCTATGTACTGGTGACAAATACATTCCCACTTTCCTTGCTCTTTTATTCAGATAAATCCACCTCGTTTACGCTGACCTCTTTCGGCCTCCAAGTCTCCTACCTCCCACCTCAAATCAGTCACCAAATCCATCCACAGGACGGCTGGATGGCTGACACGTCTCTACATTCATCTCCGATTTTAGAAACCTCTGACAACAGGACTGCAAAAATACGAGCTGAGCAAACCAACCTTCGATTATTCACGGTGGAAATCCAACCACTTCTTTATAGCAGTTACACATCTCCTAAGCAAAAGATTCCTTACCTATGCTGAAGGCAGGACGAAAAGCAATGGATGGAAACTAATCAAGGAGACAAGCCACCTAGAACTAAGGAGAAACTTCCTTAGGAGGTTAGGAGCAGGAAGTTAGACTAGAAGACCTCCAGGGTCCCTTCCAACTCGTTATTCTGGGGGTTTTTTTCCCGATAAATCACAACAGGCTAAGCCACTGATCCACATCATGGCTGGATTATTTCCTGACAGTGAGAACAATTAATCAGTGGAACAACTTGCCTCCAGAAATTGTGGATGTGCCAACACTGGAAGTTTTTAAAAAGATGTTGGATAACCATTTGTCTGAAGTGGTGTAGGGTTTCCTGCCTAGGCAGGGGGTTGGACTAGAAGACCTCCAAGGTCCCTTCCAACTCTGTTATTCTATTCTATTCCTTCCCTTAGCTCCTCCATAGTTCAATTATAACATTTGCATGCAGAAGATCCCTATCTCATTCTCCAATATTCCAACTCTATTCTACTCTATTGTTCTATTCTATTAAGTCAAATGCAAACAATAGTCACATTATGATTTAATCTGCAAGAGCTGGCCAATTTATCAACAGTAATCACGCTCCAGGCTAACATGTCTGCATGTTAGAAACGGGTATGCTATAGTATAGTTTAATTAGAACTCAATCAATCCTGAAAATGAGCCAAATATCAAGACAGAATAACTGCAACAGATAACAGATAATCAGAGCTGGAAGGGACCTTGTAGGTCATCTAGTCCAACCCCCCGCCCAAGCAGGAGACCCTACACTATTTCCGACAAATGGCAGTCCAATCTCTTCTTGAAAGCTTCCAGGGATGACACTCCCACAACTTCTGAGGGCAAAGCTGTTCCATCGGTTGATTGTTCTCACTGTCACTGCGTCTTGTTAGATAGATGATCCAATGTTCCAATCTGCCGAGATCCTTCTTCCTTCCAAAGTGTTTGCAATTTTCCCCAATTTGGCGTCATCTGCAAATTTGATGAGTTCCCCTTCCAACCCCTCACGCAAATGAAGATGAAGCCCACAGATCTCCTGCTGACCTCCAGGCTGAAGGATGGATAGATGGAAGGGGAGCAAGAAAAAAAAAAAAGTTGAGAAGACTTCCTGGTTTCTCTATTACCTTCCCTGGATCAGAGCGGAGGTCTCCAAATTTGGCAACCTTAAGATTATGCTGGCTGAGGAATTCTGGCATTTGAAGCCCACAAGTCTTCAAGTTGCCAAGTTTGGAATCCCCTGGTGGGATTCAAAAAAAACTTACTACCGATTCGGTGGGCGTGGCTTGGTGGGCGTGGCATGGAATGGTGGCAGGGTGGGATTCAAAAATCCCAGCAACCGGTTCGCTGCCCGGTTGCTGGGTGGGCGTGCCCATGGTGGGCGTGGCCTATGACAACTTCCTGTTTTCGGCTTCCGATGTGCCTCCAGAGCCCGGGGGAGACTATTTTCGCCCTCCCAAGGTTCCGGAGGCCTCCCCAGGGCCTCTGGGAGGGCAAAAACAGCCTCCCCCGGGCTCTGGAGGCCCTCCGGAAGCCAGAAATAGGTCTGTTTCCAGACTTCCGGAAGGCCCGTTTCCCCCCTCCCAGAGTCTCCATGTAGATCCTGCAGTGACCTCCATCAAAAATGGGCCACATGGAAACTCCTGGGAGGAGAGGGGAGAGCGGGGCCAGCCGGTCGATTGAAATATCAGTTCGGCGAACCAGATGTAACTAACATCTGGTTTGCCCGAACCGGTCCGAACCAGTAGAATCTCACCTCTGCTTGATGGGTGTGTCAGGGGAAGGATACTGTAAAATCTCCATTCCCTCCCCACTCCTGGGGGAAGGTTACTGCAAAATCCCATTCTCTCCCCACCCCACTAACCTGCTTTCCAGCTCCGTTCTCCTGTGCAGGGCAACCAAAGAAGACCCAGCCGATCAGCTGGGACTCGGGAGGCAGAGAATAGATGGGGCAGGGCCAGTTAGAGATGGTATTTGCCGGTTCTCCGAACTACTCAACATTTCCGCTACCGGTTCTCCAGAACTGGTCAGAACCGGCTGAGTACCACCTCTGAGAGGAAACATGGGTTGAGTATATTAGACTTTCTCCCATCCAAGACTTGGCAGCTGATGCTGGGTGAGGACTTCTGTCGTATCTCCTACTCAAACTGGAGGAAGATACCATTATAGGGCATCACTGTTCCCTGCCTCTGCACCAGCACATCATCTCTTCCAGGGGGTTACCCAGAGAGCAGGAGAACCCACCCCTTCACTACATTTGCTGAATTCTAATATGGGGTTTCAGTCAGGAACCTTCTGCTTTTAGCCGCCACCGTGTAAAAAAGACACTGAGACTCTAGAAAGAATGTAGAGAAGGACAACAAAGGTGATTAGAGGGCTGGAGGCTAAAAGATATGAAGAACAATTGCAGGAATTGGGGACAGCTAATCTAGTGAAAAGAAGGACTGGGGGGGGTGGGAATGATATCAGTATTCCAGTATTTGAGGGGCTGCCACAAAGAGGAGGGGGTCAACGTATTTTCCAAAGCACCAGAAGACAAAACAAGAAGCAACGGATGGAAACTAATCCAGGAGAGAAGCAACCTAGAACTGAGGAGAATTTTTTTTTTTTTCTCACAGT